TTTTGCCACAATTCTGGATGATAACTTCCTTAGACTTCATTTTCTTAGTTTTATAACTAATGGTTACAGTGTCACATTCAACTTTGCATCATCTTGAAAAAACATTTATTTTGTAATGTGGTGAACAACAAGTTGTTCATCTTGTCTGGATGAAACTAATTCTTTTTTATGTTTTTTATTTATTTATTTTAGTTTTTACGGCCCCAGTGGCTTGTTTTTTCGACAGTAGGCTCACAGGAAAGGGGGTGCGGTATTGGCTGTTGATCAAGTCCCAGTGCTGTATCTGGTGTTTGTCACAACGCGCTATTATCCAAGTCATCTTGAAAACATTCTTCTTCCAAATGTTGGCTACATATTACGGGTTTTTTCTCTGGCCAGAAGTTCGATGGCAAATCCTCCCTCTTCAAGTTGGCGATCCAACGACCAACCCGTCCGTGGAGGATCAGGAATCAGAAAGGTGGAATAACTCTTTTTTCCACTTTTACCCGATGTATTCCAGCATCCAGCTGCCATGCACGTGGGCATTGTCAGTTTCACTATAGCTCTGGTGAATTTCAATGGTGAAGTCCTCTGGAAATCTTCAATAATTGTTGTTGATTGCAGATGTGTCTAGTAGTTCCCATTGATTTAGCTTGGAAAGCGGGGAGAATGGCGCTAGGCTTACCGCACCATGACGTCACTGCTGGAAGATGGCAGGAAGGAGGGGCTACTATATTTGGGCAAAAATGGCCGCTCCCAGACTCAGTTATGGCCACGAAAATTATTGTTTCAATTGTTTTAACTGATTAAGCTAAATTCATTAAATTACTGCGAACTTATTAGTTTTAGGTATAAATAATGATCCATTGATTATTCCTGGCTGATCGGACTTTTCCTTTAATAATGCCTCATAATCCAACAGATCAGAAAGTTCCCTTTTATGCAGCTACATAAATAATTTATTTAGGTATTTTAAACATCTGACATTAAAACATTTAATAATTGTCCGATTAATAAATGTTTTGTTATTATTCATGAAATATTGTAGTAGTTTAAGCCGATTTAGAACGACCCATTCCATTCTTTACTATCAGGAAGTGAATGAAAACCATGAAAGCCTTCAGGTCTCCTGTCATGCTGTAAGAGAGGGAGCTTTGCTGTCAGGCTGCAGGTTTATTGTTGTTTCCCAAACTCCCTTAAAGTAGCATTAGATGCAGACGATTCACATCATTTTATCCTCCGGAGGTGGGAAACATTTATTTAAATTCTGAATTCCTACTGCTGTCTTCAACACTTCATAAGTTCAGCGATACATCGTCAGAAATCTCAGTTTTCCCCCAACTCTTATTTAATCTCAGGCAGTTTTATAGTCTCAATATCGCATTCCTTAAATGCACATGCACATCGGAATATCACGTCGAAAGCTTACTGGAATTCACGTGTGCTGGTCGAAGCCAGAGGTTGCTCTGACACTGGAGAGAATGTTTATACAGACGTTCTCTGTTTATGCCAAAACCTCTTAATATTTCATCTAATTGCGTACAAATCGGCCATTAGAGACCTTATTATTGCTAAGACTCATACTTGACCTTCAGCATGTACTGCTAGGATTATAAGGCCACGAATAAGGATATATAAGGCAGTACAGCTGCTTCTATACTTGGCAAGCCAGCCAGAAATCTACATTCTACAGCCTTTTTATTTTTCTGTAGAACCGGGTTGGTTCTACAAGATGAGTCAGATGGACGGTTCGCTTTTTAGCTTCTTTTTTAAAAGTTCCTTCCACTGTAAAGCCCAGAGGGATCACCCAGACCAAAACTATCGATTCTTCTGAACTTCAAACAGCTCAAAGCTGCTTCATTTGTTTTTATGTCCAGATATTTTCCTGATTTTTGTTCTACTATGGATCAGTTCAATAAGTAAGAAGAATTTATATATACAGTATTTGCTTATTTTCATCATCTAATGTTAAACCTTTTAGGTTTGAAAACCCCAAGTTAATGTTTATGTTCCAATAGTTAATCAAATGTATTAAATATGGATATAAACATCTAACTCTGAGGCACAGGATGGTACAGAGAGAGGTTCTGCTGCAGAGAATCTGATCTCCTCCTCCATCATCTGCTGGAGTGACAGCATCAGAGCTAATGACTGAACGAAGCTGATAAAGAAGGTCAGCCCTGCTTTAGGAACTCCTCTGGAGAAGAAAAACAACATGAAGAACATTATGGACAACAGTGAGCATCCTCTGCATCAGACGCTACAGAGGATCATTTCTGCCTACAGCTACTGTCAACAAATCATTAAAAAAAAAACAACCCCAGGAGTTCCACTGACATTTAATTCCTCTTTGGAATGAGTAAAGTATTTTTATTAAACTGAGTTTGACAATATGGGGCTTACTTCTTATCTAGTTAAGATTTTCTACGTTTGGAGGCTATTTAGTCAAGGAATAAAATGTATTGAAGGAATTATTCTATCTAGCAAAATTAACATAAATAAATAACACAGCTTAATAGTGAATCATCTGTATTTTGTTGGTGGGTTGATAAGTGTTTAAAACACATATCTCAAAGTCAACACTAGGGGTGTAAATCACATCCATCATGGCGATTCGATTCAGTATCGATTTTTCTGACCCAACGATTCGATTATTTTCGATACTCAAGAATACACCACGATTCGATTCGATTCGATTAATCGATTTAAATTTTTTTTTAGCTACTTTTTATTATTATTATTATTTTTTTTACACCTTACAGGCTAAACAAAGTTTCAAGTTTGAAATAAATCAATGAAAGCTGTAATATCATTATGCATTTTCTTTAGAAACAACAACAAATAACAGAAGTAGAAAAGTTGCATCAAAAAATACTGCAAAAATACTGCACAATATCAGTGTAATGAGTTCAATGCAATACCTCGGCTCCAGAGAAACTGTCCAACATATTTTTTTAGAATGTAATAAATATACTCAGGAAAGAGAGATGTTGCGTAGAGAGTTAGACAGGAATAAAAATAAACTACATATAAGGAAATTGTTTCAAAGGTCATCTGGGGATGTAGTTTTTGGTAGTATTTTTAATTTTCTAGAAAGAACGGGTATTTTAGGGAGAATATAATAGTTTGTCTGGTCCATACTCCATTCTGGAAGGTGGCGGTAATGCACCTATAAGTTGTTTGCCAACCGCCATTAAAAAAAAAGAAGAAGAAGGCTCCAGAGTGTTGCGTCACCGCCCCCTTGAGAGACGCTCCGCTGCTCCTCTCCCAGATTGTAGCTGATTGCAAACAGTGCACCAGACAGGAGGCCGGCTTGTTTTGTTTTTATGACCGAAATTGCGGAAAACAACTCGTGAAGTTTGACCCGCTAGATGAGCGAGGTGCGCGAGACCGCTGGGACCCTTTTTCCAGCTGAATCTCCGCCACTTTTGCCCCATTGTCCCTTCGTCGTCGGACTAAACTCGCCCCCACTTCCTCTCCGCCTCGGCCGTATCTAGACCCACAGCGTGTAGCCCAGACCACGCTTCAATACTGAGCATAATTAAAAAATGTCTGTGTGAAGCTTGCTGCAACAAACTGCTGTAAGAGTATAACCAGGAAGCCCGGTAGGAGGGCAAAATAGGTTTAGCGGCACCGCAGCACGGGAGGGAGAATTACGCCCAGGAGTAAATGGATAAAAATAGACCGGAGGAAAAAAACAAACATGAATCGATTATCTTGCGGACGCGTCGATGCATCGGATCGTCGGCTTTTGGATCGATGCATCGATACAAAACGATTATTATTTACACCCCTAGTCAACACCCACCTGCCCCTCCTCTATCACCTGCAGGATCAGCTCCGCCCCTCCCTCCATCCATCCAGGCTCCTTTTATTTTGCCTTCAATCAGCCTCTGCCGACCCCTGCAAGCAGTATGGAACCAAATCGTTACCATATTTAAAAAGGAAAAAGCATTTTCAGAAATGCTTTTTCCTTTTCAAATTTTACATTTCAAATTGAATTTGGTATGTATTTGCTGGGTTACATTTTGAAAAATAAATCTCAAATGTCTTTTTTTTAATTCTAATTAAGTAAAATGATGAGCGGTGTTAAAGAACAGAATGAAAATGCAAATATGATGATTGATTACTAATTTCATTTATGAGCCAAACAATGCAGCCACATTCTTAAAATAGAAAGGCATTTCCAGAAATCCTTTTTCATTTTCAAATTTTACATTTGAAATTGAATTTTGGTATTTATTTGCTGGGGTACATTTTGAAAAATAAATCTCAAATGTCTTTTTCTTTTTCATTTCAATTAAGTAAAAGGATGAGCAGTGTTGAAGAAGAAAATGAAAATGCAAACAGGATTATTGATTACTAATTTTATTTATGAGTCAAACAATGCAGCCACATTCTTAAAATGAAAAAGCATTTCTGAAAATGCTTTTTCATTTTAAATATAGTAACGATTTGCTTCCATACAAGCAGCTGTTAGTGCTCTCAGCCTCCTTCAACCAGCTGCAGCCCAGTGCGTTTGGATTGTTAAAGGCGGTGAACCAAAACAATCCAAACATCATTTACAATGCATGCACTTTCTTTTTTTTTATCTTAATAAATTTATTAATATAATTAAAATGTATTAATAATATTGATATTAATATTTTGTTTTTAAAAACCCAATGTGTTAGGTCTTGGTTCAATAGACTGTGTTTTAATAAACATTTAACCATTCCAGCTCTCAGCTTGTAGAACATTAGTTTGTTTGATCCTCGGTGTGTTTGACTTTGACATCCCTGATTTACAAACTTATACCTGAAAGAAAAGGAACTAGAATGAATAAAAAAATATTAACTCTGAAACCAACACCGGAAGACCTGAGCGCGATATTTCTACTTCCGGGTCATTTTTACTAAACTCGATATCTTTAAAAATATATATTCCACTAAACCCAGAGTTTAATATCAGATGAAATGCAGATATATTAAACTCCATGATTAGAAAGAAAAAATAACCAAACTTCTGCTGTAATTTAATCATCTTTCTAGTCCCACTGTCCCCATGGCAACAACATCACCTAACAACGTCATTCCAAGAACAACGCTAATCCAGACGTTTTGATTTTAGGAAGCTTTCTGGAAGCGAAACGTCATCAAACTTGAAAAGCAAAGTCCAGATGTTTGTTTTTTAACTTTAGAAATAACATGGATGACTGAGAATCAGCAGCACATCTAACAACGTCACTGCTGTTTGCTCCATTGTCCACAGAACATGCTGCTGAGGAAAGACTCGTTCCTTTAACTAACGGAGATCAAAGTAAGTTTATTATCTTTCATCTTATTTTCACATTTAGAGCGACTGAGTGTTACAGTGTAAAGGTTTAATGAGCTAATATGAGCGAAATGAAACAAGCTGAGCCCCTGCTAGCTAGTGATGCTACTATGTTAGCGCGCGTGTTTAGCATCAGATGGAAAACTGATTCCCTAAAATCTCTGGTTTTCATTCCGCTTGTCTGTTTGGAAAGTCTGGTTTTCTACCTCTGCACTTCTGTGCTGACCTGACTGTATATTTAGATTTTTAAGAGGTTCCGGTTATCCGCCGCGGTTGTTAGGTATCGCACAAAGCTAATGCTAATGCTAGGTAGCCTGCTAGGAGGCTAGTTAGGCAGCTAACAGGCTTAGCAGGTAGAATTATGAGCTATATTAGTACCTTTAAAATGGGTGGAGGATACTATTATGAATAAAATAATGTTTTGTAGTGATTCATAGTCTGTTTTGTTAATTATTAAAAAGAAATATACAAATAATCATAAAAATATATGAGATTATGGCTGTTAATAATAGAATAAACATAAATGAACAAAATAAACACATCATATTATTTTGGGCTCCTGCTCATCTCATGGAGGTATTTTGGGAAATGAAAGAGCAGATTAGCCGAGGAGGCTATTAAAAAAGAAGATAATAATATGTCTTTAAAGTTACCAAAAATCTGAAGGCAAAATATAGCTTGGAGAAAAAGCAAGAAGATTTGGAAAATTAGGAGGGATAATGAAATAAATAGAAGGCATTTGTATAGGATATAAAATACAGTTGATGTGGCAAAGATTAGAGGAATAAACTGGAGATAAACAGAATAAGAACAGATCACAGTTTTTTAAGTGGAAATCTTTTCAAGATGGGGAAACATCTTACTGGTTTCTGTAGTTAGTGTGATAATGTAGAAACAATAAAACATATTTTTATTAGTTGTAGAAAATATGTAAATAAAAGAACATTATCAAAAACAGAATTAGGTTTTAATGGGGAATTAAAATGTGAGAAAATGGTTGAAAAGTTAACTAGTAATGAGGGGAAGAACAAGACTTTGCGTTAATGAGAATCTGAGAGATAGATATTAGGATCCGATGGATGGCAGTAGTGCAACGATAACGGATGCAAGCTGCCGTTCAAACCTAAAGAAGAAGAAGCGCGGCCTAGCAGGCGCAGCTAGCTTAAATGTGTCACTGACATGAATGGGCTGATGGGCCAGTGAACATTTTAGTTGTTCAGCTTATTTACGATTCATGTGGTTTTCTGAGCAGTTTCGTTAAAGCTAGCATGTTCCCAGCCCTGTGAGCTAAAACATTTCTACCAGATGCAAACCCAAAGATGACTTCATCACATCAGAGGCTGAACTTCTTTAAAATCCTCTGAATATCTAGCATAATTTTTAAGGATCCAAAATTTACAAATTCTGTGTAAGAGTTTCAAAATCCCGAACTTTATGAAAGTAAAATCGCTGTATAAATCTGTTTTCTAGAAGAAAGTGTCCAAATAACAGCAGTAGCTGCAGATTTGTAGGATTGGCGCATAAAACCTGTCGGTGAGTTGAGGGGATATACATAACATAGATGTTGTCAGCATCATAATAAAACTAACTACAGACAAATAGTAGAATAAACAGCAACTAAATAAAAAAACGCTAAAAAAGCCTGCCTCCACTGCAGCATGAAAGCGTTTGGGACATGACCTTTGACCTACATGCAGATCCACACCAACAGGAGAGAAAATAAATGACGAATATTTCTTCCTAACAATGGAAAAGGTCATTTGTTGCAAAGCCTAAAGCTGATGGTCTAAAGGTAAGACAGTGGCTCTAATGTTAGGATGAAACCTTCTAGTTATTAAGCTGGGTGTTTCATTAGGTCCCAGAAAAAAGACTTTAATAGTGACTCATTGAATAGACCCTGGATAAATGAGAATGTTGCTGGTTAAAGAAAGGTTGAATTAAAACTCCCGCAGCGATTAACAGCTGGAAGCTAACAGCCATCCTCCTGTTGTCTGTCTGTATCAGTGGACCGAAGTCTGAAGAGACGGCAGGTGAAGCCGCTGGCCGCCTCTCTCCTGGATGCCTTGGACTACGACAGTTCAGACGACAGTGACTTTGAAGTGGAAGACGCATCAGGTAAAAAATCTACATGATTTCAGTTGAAATCTTTTCAACCTTTCAGTGAAAAAGCTGCACTGGTTGCTGGCAGCATGTTGAAGCTTGGTCTTTAGGTCTCATGTCCACTACGGGTGTGTGTGTGTGTGGGGTGGGGGTGGGGGTGGGGGGGAATCTATTTGGCAATATATCGTGATATTCGGCTGCCCGATATAGTATCGATCTTTCAGTTCCTAATATCTTTTTTTTTAAATAACACAGAAAACAAACATTTTTAGCTAAAACAATGAGGGGAAAATGGGCTACCTCTGCAGCGCCACTCTGGTAGGTGGCGCTGTGGAGCCTTTTTACAGTACATTACATTTAATTGTTGCTATAGTGATGATACCTCTGTAGAAAGACTGCATTTCACCCCAAAAAGCCTTTTTGGGCAGATTTTCCAGTCCTTCAACAGTTTTTTGATCGGGCCGTCTTTCCGTCAGGAATCTTCTTCTTCTTCTTCCTCTCAGAGGAAAACCCAGCAGCATGGCGGGTGTGCGAGTAAAATGGAGTTCTTTCTGTAAAACTGTCAGACCGTAGTAGCCACGTTAGCTCAGCCATGTCTTTGTCCAAATACGTCGTCTTTTCTTTTTAGGGCTTTCAGCACAAATCGCACAAATATCCAAGGCAGCGCGTTTCACTCTAGTGAGCTTCATGTTCCTCTTGTAGTCGTTTGGCTTCCAGATAGACGAGTCCGAGTAGCGCCATCTCTCTGCGGAGCTGAGTCCCACCTGGTTTTTAGATGTACAGTGTGAGCAGGTAGATCGCATCAGAGCGTCAGATCGCACAGTGTGAGAACAAACATCGTGAGCTGTGAATTTTTAATCGCTGCGGTTTGGTCGTACAGTGTGAGCTGTAGCAGCGTGCAACGATTAAAAACGTGCAAGTTGAAAAAACACTAGTCTGACTTCCATTAAGCAAACTGCTAGGACAGCGTGTCCAGCCTGTTAGCCAGATCAGACCTGTTCTCATTGGCTCTTTCTCTGCCAGGGTCAGACGGCACAGGCAACGGCAGCGATGAAGAGGGGTCCAAGGCGAGCGCCGCAGGCTCCGAAAGTGACTCTGAAAATGCTGCCTCTGGAAACGAGGGTGTCGACGAGGAGCCTAAAGACCTGGCCGTCGACGACAACAACCTAACTGAGGATGAGGAGAAGCCTAAGGAGCAGGCGTCCTCAGACAGCCCCGCCAAAGACACCCCGTCTGCCACTCCATCCAAGAGTAGAAGGAAAACCAAGAAGACCTCAGAGCCAGAGGGGACCGCAGCCGGTGAACCTGAATCTACCTCCACTTCTGCCGCTGGCAGCATCAACACAGAGGAGTCTCTGACCGAGCCGAAGAAGTGGAACTTCCGCAGGAACCGCCCCCTGCTGGACTTCACCACCATGGAGGAGCTGAACGAGATGGACGACTACGACAGCGAAGACGACAACGACTGGAGACCCACGGCGGAGAAGAGGAAAGGCAAAGCGTCGGCTCAGAAAGGGGGGGCGGAGGAAGAGGATGGAGCGAGCATTAGCGAAGACGACGACGAAGATAACGACGACGACGAAGACGATGAAGACGACGAAGGCAAGGACGATGGTGACGACGCGAACAACAGCAGCAGCGATAGCGATAAAGAGGCCAAGAAACCCAAGAAGAAGGTGAAGAGCAGCAACGCGTTTGACGACGAGCTGACCAACGACAGCATGTTTCAAGGAAAGGGCAACGAGGTGAGGATTTACCGCCACACCCGAGATACGACGGTTCATTAGGGCGAGGTTCTTACCACGCCTCTCCTCAGCTTTCTGGAAGGTACTTTACACAACTTTCAAAATAAAAGGTCTGAAGAGCAGCTGCCTCGAACAGCACTTCCTTTAAACCTTCACAATAAGAGCTTCCAGAGTACAGCTGTAAACACCTTTACAGAAACATTTCATTTTTCTGTTTTGTAATGAAATGTTTCCTGCTGTAAATCCGTTTTAATCAGCAGAGCGTCACATGGCAGCTTCATTTCAGTGAAGACACAACCAGAGGTGTGTTCTAACTAGTGCTAATTACTGCAGTAACTAATTAAACAAAGTCCACCTTCAGGAGTACTTAACTGAGTAATATTATTAGAAAAGTATCACTTCTTTTACTTTCAGCTGAAAAAATCATATGAGAATAACTTCATTCATTAAATAAAATTAGTTTTTTCTCCACAAAATTCTATTCAGTTTATTTCTATAGCTCCAATTCACATCATGTCATCTCAGGTCACCAGATCATCCAGTCAGATTGATTCAAAGTTTTCTATCCAAGGAAAACCAGCTGATTGCATCGACTCAGTGACTCTTCAGCAATCCCTCACACTAAGCATGCTTGTAGCGACAGTGGAGAGGAAAAACTCCCTTTGAACAGGAAGAAACCTCCAGCAGAACCAGGCTCAGTGTGAGCGGCCATCTGCCGAGGCCCACTGGGGTTCAAGGAGACAGAAGCAGACATAGAAAAAGAAGCATAGATACAAAAGGCAACTGTCAACCAGCTCCACAGGCGGCCCCGTCCAGGAAACACACAGCCAGGCAGACGAGCTCCGAGCCAGCTCCCATGTCAGAGGATGAAGAGAGCACATCCAGTTAGTCACAGTCGGAGAAACAGGACTACACTGGAATACAGGCCAAGCTCCAACATCTAGAAACAAAGGTGTTGATGGCAGCAGCACAGCTGATATTTCTCTCCAGGATGGAGTCACAGCCAAACAGGAACAGACCAGATGAAGCTACTATGAGAAAAAGCAGAGAGAGCAGAACGTTAGAGATTGAACTAACAGATTCTGCAGAGTGGGAGAATAGAGATAGAATGATGAAAAAGGGGTCCCTATGTCCTCCAGCACTCTAAGCCTATAGCAGCAGAACTATAGAGATAGCTCAGGATAACCTGAGCCACTCTAACTAGAAGAAGGCATCAGGGAGACACAGAAATATAAGTTATGTTGAAGTAGGGCTGGACAATTAATGGAATTTGCAATTTAAGAATATTCAATATTTAAATCACAGGTGCACTCAATTCTGGTCACATTACATTTCACAGCACTATGAAACAAATATTTATTATATTTAAAGTGGGTTTTCTTCCACAGCGTGCCCATCTATGTATGCAAGTAGATGTGAGCACTTTCCAAACAAAGGTTACAGTAAAGTCCTGCAACAACAGACTATTGATTGACAAGCATTCAAGGGAATAAAATAACAAAACCCTGGAGTAAAACACCTACAGGCTGGGGTTAGTGCAAAGAAAAATCGAAATAAAATCACCATATTGGTTGAAAATAATCACTATTTAGATTTTTTTTTTTTATTGTTGAGCCCTATGTTGAAGTGAGACTTTCAGTTTGATAAAAGCTTTACTGTTTTACTGCTGAGGACATTAAACCCATTTTTAGCTGAACATACAATAAACATCAGGTATATTTCTCCCTCTTCTAACAGCCACCATGTTCCTCAGTGATTGTTGATGCCATCATATCAATAGATGCAAGTTTGCCCTTCTCTTGCTTGGCTGAAGGAGGATAAAGTCTGCCTGGCCTTCACAGAACGCTGTCCTCAGCCTTATAGCCCACATTTAGGAGGAACCAGGGCGCAGCATTGCATTCTGGGGAACTGCTTTGGCAAAAAATGTTTACAGACGCGTTAAAGATGCTCTGGTCGTAGTGGAGAAACTCTTTTATATTCAATTTTGATTTCTTAACTTTCATGTTAAAAACAGTGTGTATATATGAATATAGATGTCTGTTATCTCCCAGGATGCTTCACTGGACCGCTCCCAGACCTGGAACACTCAGCACATCCTCATATGCTGCGTTTGCCTGGGAGACAACAGCGAAGACGCAGATGAGATCATCCAGTGTGACAACTGTGGGGTCACCGTGCATGAAGGTGAGCCGCCGTTAGGGCCAAGGCTAAACCAGCATCAGGACTATTTACCTTGGACTGCTTCGTTTAAAACTTTATTGCAAACAAAGAAAAGTTTGGAAGCTTCTGCCATAAAGCATCATAACACCTGGTAAGTGACTGAGCAAAACATGCACCAAGGTAGCGTCTTCCAATGTTCCATAATTAACCTTTAGAGCTCATATACCCAATTAGTTTTCAGCAGCAGAAACAAGCCAAAAGCAACAGACTTTAATTGGACCTGCTTCCTCACAGGTTTTATTCCGGTAATTAAAACAAACTCAGATTTGTTGGTGAACACATCTCCTCTGGTTTTCTCGCCATTGCTGCAAAATAATAGTGTCTTCATTTGATTAAAACAAAATGACAGAACCCTCCACTGCATTGAAGACGTAGAAGGGAAAACAATATTATTTAATGGTCTGACCTAACTGGATCCAGATAGTCTTTAATATAACCTCAGGTTTAAAAATGCAAACACACACACACATACTTGTTCTGCTATATGTAGTGAGGACCATGTGTTGACTCCCATTGACTTCCACTGATTTTCACTCATTTTCAACCCTTTCTATGCCCTAACCCTAAACCTAACCGTTACTAGGGGTGTAAATCACATCCATCATGGCGATTCGATTCAGTATCGATTTCCTGACCCAACGATTTGATTATTTCAGATACTCAAGAATACACCACCATACGATTCAATTCGATAATTTTTTTTTTTTTTAAACACCTTACAGGCTAGACAATGTTTCAATTTTGAAATAAATCAATGAAAGCTGTAATATTGTTATGAATTTTTTTTTTTTAGAAACAACAGCAAATAACAGAAGTAGAAAAGTTGCATCAAAAAATACTGCATAAAATCAGTGCAATGAGTGCAATGCAATACCTGGGCTCCAGACGTCCCGCCCCCTCCACAGACGCTCCGCTGCTCCTCTCCCAGATTGTAGCCGACCGCAGACAGTGCTGCAGACAGGAGGCCGGCTTGTTTTGATTTTATGACCGAAATTGTGGAAAAAAACTCGTGAAGTTTGACCCGCTAGAAGAGCGAGGTGCGCGAGAACGCTGGGACCCTTTTTTCACCTGGATCTCTGCTCTTTTTGGCCCTCATGTCCCTCCGTCGTCGGACTAAACTCGCCGCCTCGGCCGTATCTAGACCCACAGCGTGTAGCACAGACCACGCTTCAATATTAAGCATAAATCAAAAATGTCTGCATCAAGCTCCCTGCAACACACTGCTGTAAGAGTATAACCAGGAAGCGAGGTAGGAGGGCAAAATAGGTTTAGCGCCACCGCAGCACGGGAGGGAGAATTACGCCCAGAAGCAAATGGATAAAAATAGACCGGAGGAAAAAAACATGAATCGATTCTCTTGCGGACGTGTCGATGCATCGGATCGTCGGCTATTGGATCGATGCATCGATACCAAACGATTATTATTTACACCCCTAACCCTTACCAATGCATACCTCACCCTAACCTTAAACCATCTCACACCTTGGTCCTAAACCAGACCATTAGCTTGTGAGGACCAGCAAAATGTCCTCACTTTGCAACAACTGGTCCTCAATGTGATGGTGAAATCGGAAAAATGGTCCTCATTCTGAGGGCTACACCCCCCCCACCCCACCCCCCCACCACACACACACACACACACTCGCCGTGTCTCCCTGTTGTAATTGGACATTTCTGCAGTCTAAGCCCCTCCCTGAATTCACACCGTAGACCTCACCCCAAACCAGGAAGAAAACCTTTCCCCATTGGGAACAGTTGAGTGGTCCCCACAAGTACCTAACGTCCACAGAAACGGATCCTCAAGCTGTTTGTTTTAATAACATGAAAACTAAATAGAAACGGTTCCTGAAAAGAACTGTATGCCATAAAAACACGTGAAAGTTGATAAAGATACAGATAATTATAAAAAAAAACTATGAAATTAATAAATGTTGGAGTAATTCATTGAAATCTACAGCTGTCTTTAAATCAGCTTAAATAAAAGAGCTTCATACATTTATGACTCGCTGTATAAAATAATCACTGCCTACATTTAATTTTTTTGCATATTTAATTCTAGGCGTATTTGTTTATTGAGTGTTTCTAAGCATCACATCCTGAGGGGTTAGGAGCTTCATGGCTCCGGTTTGACCAGCTTCTCTGGTGACTGCTCTGGTCACACACAGAAAAAACACATTTTTCTTTGTCTCCTGCCATTAAAAGGCTAATCTGAGCCAGCATGTCTTCCACAGTTGGAATTTTATTCAGTAAATAACAAAATGTTTAAGTTAATAGTGGTTTATCCGCTGTTCTTGAGGATTACTGATAAAAAGTGGAGCCTTTCCCCTCATTTAGGAGCAGAAGCGTCCTCAGCAGATGGTAGGAAGGCTGAATGGCCTTCATTAACGTTGGAACATGATGAACATTACAGACATTCAACCATAAGAGGCTATTGGAGTTTCCAGGAAATGAAATTTCATTTAGAGACACTCAGCATCCGTACAGCTCAGTTTATTTCAAAAATACTTCAGCTATTTTAAAAGGACATATAATGACCTCACTTAGCATCATTACCACACTAATAATAAGGATTATTTGTTATAAAAGATTGAGTTTGATTCTTTTTTAAACCGTCATTTCTAAATAAACTGCAAGTTAAATAATATTTTAGATGTTTGTGATTAGAAAACACCTTAAGGTGGGAATAAGGTGTTTGTTTTCCACCATCTCCATGTGCTTCAAAAGACCCAGAAGGCATTTCCAAGAAGAAGAGTGAGAAATAGAATAGAATAGAAAATTCCTTTATTGTCCCACAAGGCGGAAATTTGCAGCAGCAAAAAGATTATAGAAAAAAAATGGTCAAACAAATGTGGACCTTAGAAAAATGTGTAAAAATAACTTAATAGTGAAGTTAAAATATAAATAATAAAATCCTGTACTGTAAAGTGTTCTAACAACATCAGAGATGTGCAGAATGACAGCAGCAGGTTATTTAACTCACTAAGGTAGAAACTGAGCAGAAGCAGCATGAATGTAACAACTGGTTGAGGTTGTTGGGAACAGTGGAGGTTCTAGAGTCTTCTAGCTGCTGGGAGGAAGGATCTGTGATAACGCTCCCTGGTGCATTTAGGGTGCAGAAGTCTGTCACTGAAGGAGCTGTCCAGTTCAGCACCACCTTCATGCATGGAGGGGGGACATTATCTAACAGAGATGTTCATTTAGTTAGGATCTGTGTGTTTCCCACCTCCTGCACTGAGTCCAGAGGGCATCCAATCACAGAGCTGGCCTTCCTGATCAGCTGATCCAGCCGCTTCCTCTCAGCTACAGATCAGCCACTGATAAGGAAGCGGCACTAATGACAAACTTTGATCCAGACTCAGATGCTATGAGCAGAGCTGATAATAGCTGACATCCCACGCTGGGTTCTCATCTGAAATGAATGGACAAACCTCCATGCATCTGGTTACTGTTACCTACGCTGCGTTTAACCTCACAGACTTTTATATGGTTTAAATGTACAGACCACCTCCAGGATGACTTCATATTAAACAGTTTGTGTGATCCAACCCTAAATCTAACCTTTAAATAGCTACATGGATAAATTTAAACTGAGGAAGGACAATCAAAGTTTTGTTTTTCCTGCAGAGACGTCAAGTAACAACCTTACTGAAGTAGAAATGTCTTTACTGGCGTTATTATTCTTTAGATCAGCGGTCCCCAACCTTTTTTGCACCACGGACCGCTATATGTCAGACAATATTTTCACGGACCGGCCGAGGGGGGGGTCGGGGGGTTAAAATACAATGAAGTAAAATTGTATTGTACTGCCATAAAATCAAATACAAACAGCAAAAAAGTGAAACAACAAGCTGGTCCCATCTAGGCGTAATCGGAGAAAATGCCAGACGAAGTGTGCTCCTGATCCAGTCTGCTCCGTAGCTTTGTTTTGGTCGCTGTAACCTTTGGTCTCTGTGCTGCCCGGTACCAAATGACCGGCAGACCGGTACCGGTCCGTGGCCCGGTGGTTGGGGACCGCTGCTTTAGATATCTTTTTACTTCTACTCCATACATTTTGAAAATAATCATTTAAGCTCATTCTTCTTTTGGCCTGTTGGTATTTAAAAAAATAAAACCCATCCAAATAATTAATTTCATCCAGACAATTAATTCCTTTGTGGTTGGACTCGGTGCTGCCCCAACTTGTTGTTCACCACAAACCAAAAGAAATATAAAAAGTTAAATTTGACACATGCTGGTGAAGATTCCCAGTCATCCAGGTCAGGTCTTTCCAAAAAAGTAAAATCAATTTGCATGTTTTCTAGGCCAAAACAAGGCTTTGTTTGGGCTATTCTATAAAGCCTGGAACTCAACGGTAATTCAGACATTTTGAATTGAAAAAGTTTCCTGGATGGGAAGCGAAACGTCTTCAAATACTGTAACCATTAGTTATAAAACTAAGAAAATTAAGTCTAAGGAAGTTATCATCCAGAATTGTAGAAAAATGTTCCTTTAATAGGGTAGAGCAGTAAAGCTTCTGGCATTAACAGTTTTTCCTGCATTACTTTTACTTTATACTTTAAGTAGTTTTGAAAAATCTTACTATTACAGTTTTTCTGGAGTAAAATGATAAAGTTGATCCTCTAACTTTTACAAAATAGTTAAACATCAGGATTTATACTTCTACTGGAGTAATAAATACTACTCTGCTTTACTAGTGAAATATGAAAGCTATGCTCTGATTTGCTGTAAGTAGAAGTACCAACATAGACAGAAGTATTGGCAGGAGGAAGCCGTCCTCTCCTCAAAGTTTCCATAGGCAGATATGATATTAGGAGGAGGTTTTGAGTTTATCTGGCTCGTTAGGCTGGTTGATATTTCCTTCCTCTGAGACCCGTTTAATCTGCCGGAAACGACACTAAAGGGAAAGTAGCTGAGGTGAGGGAGAAAGGCTCTGGGTGCTCCTACGGACGCCTCTTATCTCCTTG